ACCTGAAAAACCCCTCCCTTCAACCACAGTCAGGTGGCACAAAACACTTGCAAGTCTTAAATTATTGAAAAGTCACGACAAGCAGAGTGGAACGAACAGATTTGTTGGAGCAGAAAAGCTGGACCGAACACCAAGGAATAAGGTGTCCGGAGACTGAAGTTCCCCCTGCCCCCCGTAAGTACATTTTGACCCCCTTCCCTGTGGGACAATCGCGGCGAGCTGTACCTAGTTCTGCCACAGCCGCTGCACAGGCTGACAGAGCGAATTTGCTGGCTCGGGGCCATCTCTCTGCAAGAGGTAAGCTCTTCTCTTCTTCTGCAGGTGACATCTAGCGTCCGACATGAAGCAAGGCCACCCAGCCACCCCGCCAGGGTCTGGAGCAAAAGCAGACCCTAGCTCAGCTCTGCTCTGGCTCGTTTAGGAGACATATTGCTGAAGGTCATGTTTCTGCAGCGACAGCACCGGGAATCGCAGCAACCCAAGTGCCTCCTGCAGAGCTGAGAGGTCCTTGAACGGTGACACAAAAGCAACAGGCTCCTGGGAAATGTAGTCTGTCACCAGCGCTGCCCTCTGCCAGGGAACCGGCGCTGCCGGTACAGTCACACGCACCTTTTGCCAGATATCTACGTTAAAAAATATATATCATTAAGGAGACCTCAAGATTATGGGAACACGTGGGGTCTGTTTGCTTTAGGGGGTGCTGTCACTGACAGCAGCACCTCGGGAGCCCCAAACTGCGTCCCTGTGCCGAACGGCTGCACAGACACCTAAGATGGATGAGTTGATCTAGACCTGGTTTAACAAAAGCTGCGTTAACAACAGCTACATGCCGAGCTGGGAACTCACTTCCTAGTGCTTGTAGCCATTCACATCTGGGGATTAGGCACAGAGCAGTGCCGTTTGAGCAAGAGGCAGAAGACAGACGCTGATCTTTGCCCAAAGCCCCATATGTGGGAAGTTTAAAGCTTTTCCTGGCTGAATGCTGAAGCCCCATCAATTGTGTGCCAGTCCTAATTTATCTTAAAATAATGTAGGTATATTTGGGTTCTCATCATGTGAAAAAAAAGAGTAAGGCATGCGCTGTTCAAGAGAAGCTTTTAATTTATCATTAAGGCTCAGCTGAATCACTAAGTTAATCATTAGCCATTAATCACTAATCCTCATGCTGAGGATCTGGGGATTTTTTAGGTTACAGAAATTTATCCCAGAACACCCCTCCACGCCCCTGTCTGGCTAACATTTTGTGTCCAGGTCACAAGGATTTAGACAAATGAAGGGACCACAGCAGGTGAAATATTCAGCTAAAGTGAGATGAATTTATCTTGTCAGTCACCAGTAACCAGTTTCAAATTGGATCCTTCTTTGGGTTAGAATTCGTTAGAATCTGTGCAGTAATGGGACAAACCACTGACAAAACCCTGATTAAAATGGCAAAGAGGCGTATTGCAATTTAATGCAAATGTGCCTGGTTGCTCTGAGGGTACGAGGAGTTCAGAGCCTTACTCTAGGCAGTTTATGCCATCTGCTGTTAGTGCTTTTGTGCCTCCCACCATAGCTATTTTCTGGGCTTGGATCAGTTTGTGCCACTACATATCAGCCTACATATCACCAATCTGTAGAGTAATTTAGGTTGGAGAGGACCTCTAGAGGTCACCTGGACAGTGCTCTGCTCAGAGCAGGGATAGCTGCACAGTTACATCAGGTTGTCCAGGGCCTTGTTTGGTCACCTTCTGAAAACCTTCGAGGATGGGAATTCCACACCCACACCCTGCTCTGGCACTTAACCACTTTGTGAACATCTTTTCCTTATATTCAGATGGAATTTCCCACTTTGCATCTTATGTCCATTGCCTCTCGTCCCTTAATGTACACTTCTGGGGACAGACCTACTCTGCCTTCTCTAAAAGTACACAGTTTCACCTGTACCACTGTCTGACAAACATCATGATTTAAAAAAAAATAAGTGGAATTTTCTGTATTTTTTTGTGCTCACTTGCCATTTTTTCTGGGCACCATTGAAAAAAGCCTGGCTCCGTTCTCTTTGTGCCCTACCTTCAGGTGTTCATACACACTGATAAGATCCCCCTGAGCCTTCTCTTCTCCAGGCTGAACTGCCCCAACTCTCCCAGCCTCTCCTCAAATTACAGATGCTCCAGCCCCTTTATGAACTTCTTGACACATCATGGGGCTCCTGGTTCTGTAATGTCTTGAAACTTGCTGAAGGTGTGCAGGGGTGGTCTGTGACAGCACTTCCTGGGTTTCCTTGATGAATTTTGTACATAATTTTGATGTGCTATTTCCATGCATGCAAAGAAACCAATCAGACCTCTCTGAAATCCTGTCTTCTGACATATTATAAGGGTCACCAGCAGGTTTTGAATTGTTAGTTAATCCTCCGAAGCCTTTCTCTGCTCCTCAGGCACTGGACACACATTTGGCCTTTAATGAGACCATCTCAGGTGGGAGACACCTTTCATAAGGTAGGGCTACAAAGATGATTAAGGGAGTGGAGCATCTCCCTTATGCGGAAAGGCTGAGGGAGCTGGGTCTCTTTAGTTTGCAGAAGAGGAGACTGAGGGAAGACCTCATTCATGTTTATAAATATATAAAGGGTGAGTGTCACGAGGATGGAGCCAGGCTCTTCTCGGTGACAAACAATGATAAGACAAGGGGTAACGGACACAAACTGGAACACAGGAGGTTCCACTTAAATTTGAGAAGAAACTTCTTCTCAGTGAGGGTGACAGAGCACTGGACCAGGCTGCCCAGAGAGGTTGTGGAGTCTCCTTCTCTGGAGACATTCAAAACCCGCCTGGACGCCTTCCTGTGTAACCTCATCTGGGTGTTCCTGCTCCGGCAGGGGGATTGGACTGGATGAACTTTTGAGGTCCCTTCCAATCCCTAACGTTCTGTGATTCTGTTATTCTGTGATAAGGCTCACTGCTTCAGGTGATGCCTGCAAAAGTTTCTTGCCATCTGCCTTGCTGAAAGCTAAATTTCTGCAAATCGCAGCCTCTCTGCTTTGTAATCCTGATACTGCTAAAAAGTAGGGTTTGTTTTTTTACTGAAGAAAGTGGTGCACTCCTTTGCCACCATGTCCCTGGCTGTGCCCCTGGCTGCTTGGGTAGCCCTCCAGCACCTGGTGCAAAGTCCAAGGATTTGTCGCAGCAGCATCGAAGTTTTGCAAGCAGTGGAGTTGGTCCTCGTCCCGGAGAATTAGCTCTGCCTTTTCCAGAGCAAGGACTTGTCCCCTGAGCCGCTTGGAGCTTTGACATCTCGTCTCCATGGCAGTGCTCAGCTGGCAGGACTGATAAAAGAGGCCCTATTCAGCCACTCGGGCAATCCCGGCCAGCGCGGCCGTGCCGGGCGCTGTGGCAGGGGGGGGGGGAGTGGCAGGCGGAGCAGCTGCTGCAGCAGGCAGCGAAGAGGCAAAATGGCTCTGGCTCTCCTCTTGGCCGCGGTCCTGGGACTTCTTATTGTCAAGGCTGTTTTGTTTCCGCTGAGAAACCCGAGCTCCCCTCCTTGCATCGGGAGCTGGATCCCTTGGTTTGGAGCTGCGTTTCAGTTCGGGAAAGCTCCTCTGGAGTTTATAGAGCAAGCTAGAAGCAAGGTAATGGCTGTGCCTGCTCATGGGTGCGTGTTCAGGGTGGCTGCCTGCAAGGGGAAAGGCAAGGAAAAACTTTTGCATTAAGTTTGCCCCTGTCCTGTCACATTTTACAGCATCAGGAGCATTTAGCCAGCATCGGCTTTGTACCAGTAACGTTGCTAAGCTGTGGATCCGATCCAGGCATGATCTCTGTGCTGTGATCGTCCTGTTTGGACCCAGCACCTCTGCTGTTTTGCTTTTGCATTCTGGCTCTGTGTTAATCGTGGTTTCAGATAATGTGGAAAGCCCTGTGCCAGGGGCTGGGACCAGGAGAGTAATTACTTGTGTGCCTGAAGTTAGGTGAGATTTCTGAGTACCAGCTGGTGTCCCTCAACGTCAAGAGAGACACAGGCATGCTTGGCAGGCCACTTTTTCCATCCTAAAAAACTTACCAAAAATGGGTGTGAATATTTACCCCCTGGACATGCCTTTCTTCCTCTATGTCTGTCTGATAGAGCCTGAATGATTAACTTAGATTAGATGCTTGGCCACTGGTACTAACTGACGTAAACCCTGCATTCCCATTTTAATTTGGTGATGATATTGATGCGATCCAGTGTTCAATACCGAAGGACTGCACAGCCCACTACTTGCAAAGAACTTGCTGAAAATGAAACCACTGTAGCATTCTGAAATTTGGAAAAAAATGTATTAATAAATACTGGGTGTTTAAAATTTGCTTTGTTGTTTTGTACTATTGGGTTTCATATTTGTAAGTACTTCTTTGCAGCCATGGTTGTTAAACTCATGGTGTTAAAGGAAAGCAGAGGTTCAAGCATGATCAGCTGAAGTATGAGGTATGAGGACATCAAGAGCTGTCAGTCTTGTATTGAGGCATACTGAGTGCCCCACAGAGTAAGGTCATGTGTATGATATGGAGTTTCTTGGCTTCTCTGAGCTTAACAGCTTGGTTTTAACCTTATATTGCTTTATCTTTCATCTATGCAAACCATGATCAGTTATTTGTTAATTCATCTTAGGGCGGAGATGTAGGACTGGAAGAAAACCCATTCCAGTCCGTTCTCCTACTATTTCAGAAACCATCCCATATAATCCTTTAAACAAACTGATAAAGCCTCAGTCAAAATAAAAAAATCATAATATTTCTTTGACTCTTCTGATATGAGGCTGTTGGAGAACCTCCTTGTTGCATTGAAAACATATCCTGGGGGTGGCCGGATTAAAGCAGCAGAACTGTCCTTCCCAGTGCAGTCTTTTTTGGGGCCAGGTGTTTCACCATGACTTAAGCTTGCTTTAGTTGCTTTTTTTCCCCAGGAAGCTTCTAGCAAAATCTCTTATACAAAACTTTAAAACAAACCTGACAGAAGAGTCCCTTTAGGGATTTCATTCACAGCTTGAATGAGCAAAACTTTTACATGTTAAAAGAATGGATTGAAGCATAAATGCAAACTTGGTGCCTCTGGGTCCATTAATTTTGATGTTCATTTTCCTGGAGACCCTTTAAGCTGCTCTTGGTCCTATGGCAGTTAACTGCCACATCTGAACACACCAGAAACACCTGAGGGACTTTATAAACCCCAGGTTTTGTTGGGACAGAAACCAGAACAAGAAGCATTTTCAGTGGGAGAGAACTCGACATAAGGCAAAGCATAGAGAGAAGGTTTTCTTACATATCTCCCCTTTCCTGTGTGTTTGCTTTCCCCTTCTTCTCAGGGATGTCTCCCTCGCTCCCTTCCCACCTCCTGCACTGGCACAATGTGCTGAGGCTGAGCCTTTTCCTGCCTGTTCCATTTTAAAGTAGGCACTGTGGCACAGTACAGCCAAATAAAACAAGTGCTGCTGCCAAAGGGGTGATTAGCAGGCGCTACAAGGGTTGCAAAACGCCTCTGCAATAATTCCAAGCTCCTTCATATTGCCAGAACAGGGTTACGTGTCCTTCGTATGAGCAAGCTGCCCTTGTAAACGTTGGTGCAGAACCAGGCTGTAGGCACTGTGAAACCTCTTCAGCTCCACAGGGTCATTACCTTCAGGGGAGACTTTTGCAGTTAGAAAATTCCTCTTTATTAATCTTTCAGTCTGTCAAAATGACACTCATTTCTTTTAGTTTCTTAAAGAGTTAGCTTTCTTGTTATTGTCCCTTTAGTGTATATCCCTCACTGCTTTTTCTCTCAAGCCCTGGAGTACCACACCAGACTTCCACTGCTTCCCACCTGCACTTTCGCTTGAAGTTCACTGCTTCTGTTTTCCTCCTACAGAAGAAGACGTGGGCTGGAAGAATTGTCTGTTTTTCCCCTTGTGTCATCAGTGGGTCTAAGAAAAGAAAGATCCTCTGCTCTAATTAAATATTGAATCTCTGGTCTAATAAAAGATACCACCTCTTCCTCCTAAAGCTGCCTGGGTGGTTAAAGCAGCTAAAGCAGGCGGTCTGGGATAGGCAGGGTGGGTAACTGGAGCTACTGTGCAACATAAAATACAGGTAGAGCTGCTTAATGAGGGGTTCAAAGGATTTCACAGATGTGGTTCCCCACTTTGCCTGACAAGCATGGTAAGAATTAATAAGGAATTTCAAAAGCTTCTGATCAGTTTGCTGATTAAGCTAACCAGAAAAGTTCAGTTAAACCCATGAGATTGTTCTGCACTGCTGTATTGACCTGTGCATCCATACGTCACTCCCGGTGTGTTGACTGTTTTTGGGACATGGTGCCATGTCTCAGGACTCAGCTGGGTACCTCTCAGCCTTATTCTCTGTGTTTGCATGAGGGATGGCTCACTGGGTTACACGGCAAGGGACATTCATCCTGCGTGAAGTTTGGTGGAGGGGAAACAGGCTGCAGAAGAGGACAAGGCTTCTGGTGGAGCATTTCTGAAGGCGATGTCCACAGCTGAATTGCTGATGGTCTGTGACCCTGGTTTCATGCACAGAAGACCAACATGCTAAAGTCCCTGAGATAGAGAGGGGACATGACATTGAACCTGTGTGTGTGTACGACAAGGAAGAGACAACCAGCCCAGTGCACATAGCTCCCAACATGAGTCTCGACAGGACTGCAGCTGAGAGTGGCTGCTCCCTACTTCACAGTGCCCCTGGGAAGAACGGCTGTTTCCCTGTTTTCCTGCCTTTGGGATTTTGGAAAACATCCTTCTGAAGTTTTTATTTCTCAGGAGTTTTACTTTCATGTAGGCTCAGATCTGCCTGTCATCATGGCACCACTGTTTTGTGTGATGCTTCCCAGCCTTTGGAAAAAACAGAGCTCTCATGAGTGAAAGCAGCTTCATAGGCCCTAAATCCCAAGAGGATTTTTATTTTGCTTCCTGTATCTCTGTATGTCATCAGGTCTCCTTAAACACTGTTTCAAACAGAGCAGTAAACTGGGACACAGCGTTGGCAGGCACTGCCCACGCTTCATTGGTACCTGCCCATACCACAGGGATGGTGAATGCAGAACTGCTTGACAGCTTGTTCAGCTGCTGATTTCATGACATTAGATCAGCATAATTGTACCAGGACAGGTGAAAGGTCTGTTTATTCAGGTGTCTGTCTCCAATAGCAGCTATTTGTAGATGCTCAGTACAGGGTGTAAGGAGCACACCCTGATGTGAGTACCCTGCCTTCTGCTTTTTCTTCCCATCTTCTGGTTGTCAACAGTTTGGAGACTTCCTAGGCTGGAATTTGCATCCAGATGATCTATGATAACCTCATCTCTTTTGTTACCCTGTGTATAATTTTGGCTTCACAGCATCCCACCACAATGAATCCATAATTTAACCATGAACCATATGAAGAAAGCATTCTGTCTGGTTTTAAACCGGCTAGGTTCTCATAGGTACTCATCAGCTTTCACATTACGAGAAACTGGAAACAATTATTCTCTTTTCACTTTTCCTGGGATCTAAGTCCACTTAGTCTCCTTTTATTAAAACTTTCATGCATGCTTGCTGTGCACCCCTTTGCCTTTTCTAGCTCAGTGTATCCTGCTGGGATGGAATGGACAAAGACACAGTAAACTGAAGAGATGGGCACAGGATGGGTTTGGATGTTTGCTGTCCTTCCTCCACTGTTCCTAGCAAGATGAGAGCCCTAAATTAATTATTAGCACTTGTATAGTAGATCTTGGAGTCGTTTCAGAATGTGATTCTTTTAGGCCTTCTTCTCCTCTGATGTTTCTAGGTCTCCTCATAGTTCAGACTCTCAGCTGACTCCAGATCATGAGTAAACTTTTAATTCCTTCTTCTAAGGAATGAATTAGGAATATATTTAAGGCCACACATCTTTATGTCTTCCTAGAAGCTGTATTGGGCCCTTCTTCAGTACATCCTGTTTATCCACTGCTAATCCTGGTCTTTAATAACGCTTATAAAAATTTGCCAAGTACAGGAATGACTCTTTGAGGCTTCCCAGGTCCTTCTTCAGGAGCCCTTTAGAAAGGCACCGTGTTTGCCTGTCCATCCTCCTGTTGCTCTTCCACAACTTTATATTTTAATGCCTCTAAATTGTGTTAAATTGTAATATTTATCACTGATTTACCTAGCACTTGCTTAAGTTCATTCTACTTAATACTTTGAAACAAAGTCTTAGTCCATCACTTGCAGTGAAAGGCTCCAGGGTGGAAACATGTGTTAAACTGATGTAATTGCTAACTCACATTGCTTCCCCACCTGGATTCTGTACACCTGGAGCATTAATTATTTTACTTTTCTTTAATAGTGGTTTATTTTTAATTATTTTAAGTAGATTGCAGTAAATTGGATAAGATACAAAACCCGGTTGTTTGTGTAGGTGTTTGGAGGTAGGCAAGATGTCCAGGCTTTACTGACGGTCAGTGGAACCTAAGGCCCATTCAGCTCATCTCTAAAACCAGAGTTGTGCAGTAGTTGGTCAGATTAATGGGTTTTTAGGCTCCCCAGATTCGATCTCTATTGTCTATAATGGGATGTTAGGCATCTTGCTTGCATGTAACCATCCAAAAGAAACAGTTCCAATCTTTAATTGAGTGAGACCTTAATTGAATCACTAGGTGTTATTGAATCATTAGGTGTTATTGGATCATTAGGTTGCTATTAGTTCACATGTAATTTTGTTTTAAAATTAGTTTAAGTACATTTTAACGTCAATTTAAAATTTAAAAAATCTGATTTAAAAACAAACACGGTACAAATTCACTTATTTTTATCCAGCCAGATGACGAGAACATGCTACTATCCATAAAAAACCCCAACCATAGCAATTTAGCTATTATTAAAACAGTATTTTATTTATTATCACCCAGGGAGTTTAAACAGTCATTCTGTTTTAATAATTTACAGTTGAAGGACACAATCATAATTCAGCTCCTGTCAAAAGGAATATTTTCCTTGGCTCCAAAGAGCTTTTGCTGAAGCAGCCTTTACAATAGAGGCACAGACAAGAAAAGAAATGGTTAAAGTCAGTGGCATAAACGATGTAGACAAGGTAGATTTAAAACTTTTCAATATTTCAAGTAGATCAACAGAAAACTTGTCCACAATGTAACCTGCCTCAGTGTCCTTCTTGGAGTGAGGGGCCGAAAACTGAACAAGGTGAGGCCTCACCAGTGCTGATACAGAGGGACAACCATGATTTATGGCAGCAAAAGCCTTCCCTGAATATAAGTCTCAACAAACTCCATCTGTTCTGCTCGAAGCTTGTAAGCTGTTTTGAGATTAATCTTTAAAAAGCTGTACAAGAAAGAAATTGTTGGTATTAGCAGAACATTTAAACTAGAAAAGAAGAAAAAATATGAAAAAGGTGCAGGAGTGGGGAGTTTTTGTTAAAAAAAAGTAGATTGAAATAGGTAGGATTATGAATTTTTACATTGTGGCTACTTTGCTATGGCAGCCAAGGGATGTAGTAGATCATCCATCACTTGGGTTCGTTAAATCCAGGTAGGCTGTATTGTTTGAACTGTAATGTAATGTAATTCAAATGTAAAATATTTATCTCAGGGAAGGAATCTCTTCTATGCTGCAAGAGGTCAGGCAGGCCCCCATGATGTTCCCTTCTTGTCTGTAAGTCTACAAATTTAGGTCTGATTCATGTTTACCTTTGCTCACTTCTGAGCCAAAGTGTGCAGAGAGCAGGAAGGACCAGGTCCTCCCACCTGACCTCTCAGCAGTACCAAAGTCCTGTGGGGGCTCCCATCAAACGTGTTAACAATACAGTAATCTGCAATCTTTCTTTGTTCCAGCATGGGCCTGTATTCACAATATTTGCTCTGGGAAAACGGTTTACTTTTGTGACTGAGGAAGAAGGAGCCGAAGCATTTTTTAAATCTAAAGACTTAAACTTTGAACAGGCAGTACAACAAGCTGTCGAGAATGCAGGTAAATAAGATCTAGCTCTTTTAGAATGGAAATCAAATCTAGTTACCCAGGAACATTTAAGCCCAATCCAGAGCCCATTGGCTTTTTTATCATGTCTTAAATGCTTATCTTAACCCATGACCATGCTACAAAATGAAGGGGAAATGCAATTCCCTCATGTAGGTGTAGCACTGTAAGCCTGCTACGTGATTTGGATTCAGTCGCAAGGGATCAAAGGTTTCTGATCCAGGTACTCAAAAGAAGCAGAGGGCTCACCAAAATCTTTATAAGGTTAGAAGGAAGCTTGCTGGGAATTTCACTCTAGGAAAATAAGGGTTAAGGCATTTAAATTAGAGTCACGAGTTGTGTGTAGAAATTTTCACTCTATATTTCAGTGAAAATCTACTTCATCTACTTTCCAAAACTTTTCTGTTTCTTTTTATATATAGTTTCTGTCCCTGCAGAAGCATTTTATCAGAACCATGGCAACCTCTACAGCATGATGAAGGGAAAGATGGGTCCTTCCAATCTGCACATGTTCACAGGCACTTTGTGTAAGGAACTGCATGAGCACATGGCAAACCTGGGCACGGAGGGCACAGGCGACCTCAATGACCTGGTAAGGTAAGGGAGTTTTGCAGCACATCTCTAATGTATGGGCTTCCTACATGGGAGCAGAGACGTTACCTAAACCAGGTGGAGCTCAGTTTTAGAAAAGCTGTGTCAGGATGCTCATCCCTGATTCACAATTTCAGGTGGCTCACAGAGTGGGCAGGGTTTCATCTGAAGGTGTTTCTCCCAGCTAGGAGAAACATCTGAGTTACCTATTTGGAAGAAAAAAGAAAACACAGCATCTTGCAACAGACTCTGTATCTCAAAAGATGGGATAAAAGCTTCATGTTGCTAAAGAACTTATGAACAGAGAAAATGTTTGATATTCAGC